TCCAACCCTGAACCTGCTACTAAGAGAACACAAAGAGTGTCCCTACGAACAGGCTTCAGGTTGGATGAATTTCATAAGTAAGCCACAAACAGGCCAAGCATTGTAGACTGAGCACATTTTTTTAGACACAAGACTCAGAAATGGTCCTGACATGACAGGTTTACTATTGTTTTATACAGCTGAATTGCAAACTTTTCGGTAAAATATATATATATATATATATATATATCTTCCTTGTTCCTTATATTATAGTTATCAAATGTTTGCCCAAGGGCCTTTGGAGGAACATGGAAGTAGGATCTTCTGCATGTGCTTTGGAAAGTCATAGCTAGATCTGTAAATCTCTGAGATTAAAATAAAAAGGGAGTTCTCTTGCTCCCACCGCAGTCACTAGACAACGATTTAAGATGAATTTACAAACAGGGCTTTGGGCCAGCAGGTGATTTCAGTTACCCGATGGTTCCACACAGTCTCAGTGGGGCAGGAATTGGGCACGGGACGTGCCCCCCGCCCCGGCGAGGAAGAGGTGCCCTGCAGCTGGCCGTCACCCCCGGGGGCACACACAGCCCCTGCTCACCCTGGGGGGGCTGGCTAGCTCCTGAATTTGCAGCCTCCCTTGCCTTAGGAGATGAGATACACCTGCAAAGCTGCAGTCAGGAGATCTGCCCTCTCTCCTGTACCTGCAGTGGGTACTGCCAGAGGCTTGACGGCCGGTCCGGCACGCCCGCCGGCCGGCGTTGCTGGCGTGGGTGTGTGTGTGTGACCTGGGTTGTAGCCCAGATTTTGTTCCTGGAGATGTGCCAGAGCGTATCTTCACTGTGCACACCTTAGCAAAAGGGACACGGTCCACCCCACGCAGTACAAGTGGCTGCTAGTAACTTACTTGCTCTCCTTGTTTAAATATTCCTGGCTTGTCGAGCTTTTTAGGCTGCTGCAGAGTCCATAAGAATAAGTGGTGAAGGGCAAAGCATCTGGGGGTAGGATGTTTGAGGAGAGGAATATGAGAGGTGAGGAGGCTCTACCCCAGTTTGTGACACCAGGGCATCTGTAGGCATCACGATGAGGCAGAGTTAAAATGCTTCGTTTCACTTTTGAACGTATTTTGGGGTGTTTTGTTTTGTTTACCCTTTGAACTGAGAACAAGATTGCCTACAGCTTGGAACTGACATTTTAACGGTTACATTTGTTTTAAACCTAGTCTGGGATAATGGAAAACTTCTGAATTGGGCACAGGAAAATTAGGTGCCAGATTGTGCCCTGGTGTTACCTATACATGGACAATAAACTTGACAGTCTTCTCCTATAAGTACTCAATGGGAATCAGTGTAACAGCTCAAAAATAGTGAAAGTTTAAAATTACTTCAGGGTGCAATCCACAAATATGATTAGTCAGCAATACCGGCCTGAAAGAAAAAGGTCAAATTTGTCATTGATCTAAATCCAAAAGGCCAGTTTTTGTTCTGTTATTCTAAAATGGTGGCCTTTGGTCTCCCCTTGATTTTCACACTGCAAAATCATTCCAGCAGAGACGCAGACTTCTCCATGGAATATTTAAACCTACTGAATGTCCCTGCTTTATGTCAGTTGCTTTTTCAAAACCCATCAGGAGTAGTTTGTGCACCCTCAGCTAGCTATGTAGTACAAGCTGACAAGTGCTGCATTAAAACAAAGACTTAGGGCATTGTTTGGCTACCAGGAACCAGACCTGGCCTCTGGATTTACAGCCCCGAGCAGATGATTTCCTTGAAGAAGTTGTTGCACAACAACAATTCGTGGGTTAATTCCTGACTTGGATTTTCAAAACTGCTATAAGAGAGGATTTCAGCAATGCCAGGGTTTCACTCCCTTAACGAAACCAAAATAGCTGATGCCTCCTGGCTCCCCTGCCCTTGTACTTACACTTTGCAAGCTGGTTCTTTATGTCCTGCATCCACTGCATCCCATGGTAGATAGGCAGGTTTACGGCTGATTTTTGCCTCCCTGTTACTGCAGGACAAGTCACCCTTCAAGGGCCTGGAACCTTCACCCTGCAACAGCAGCACTGGAAAGCACCACAGCAACAGTCATCTTTGCTGGGAGCTGAGAAATGCCAGCTCGTGCTAGAAACTTCTGTTTGCACCAGCTGTAAAAATGAAGAGACTCTCAAACATAACCAGAGGATAAAACAGTGCATATCCCACTCTAATCTGCTGTATAAATTCCCCTCCTAAATCCACTTTGTGTTGTTTGATATAATTCTCTCTTCTATACGACTTTTTCCGAGTTTCCATTTGCAAGTTTCCCACTTTTTCTTATAGCTGTTCGGGTCCGGTTTGTCAATATTACTTCAACAGGCAGGTCAGATTGCTGAAGCTGGCCTCACCTAATCGTAACTCCAGCATTCCATTTCCAAAGGGCTGAATTAGTGATTATTGGTAACGTTACTCCAAAGAGCTTTCCTTTCCATACCGTAATAAATATGACACATGTGATACCACTGTCTGACAAATATTTTCCATACCTCTTCGGTTTCACTGTATTTAGAAATATTTAGAACTTCTGCATCACATCTGTCTTAATTGCTGGGAATCTGGCTTACCTTGCTTTGGAAAGCAGTGAATACCTTAACATGTTGTTGCTTGTACTCTGCTTACTCACTTTCAAACACACTCAGTATGATTTAATCTAGATTTATAATATTATGACATTTTATGCCTCAGCTTGCTTAAATTGATATTGGCAACCTGGGATGTGGATTACTTATCAACAGTGCTTATATACTGGTATGACGAGCACCATCCAAAGCCCAAGAGGGCGAAAGAAAGAAATTAAGAGTGTAGATTTTACCACATACAGAACTTAATCAGCCAGGTAAGAAGATACCTAATGAATATGAATATAACTTTTCCATTTCGCTCTCCCAAGGATGATATGGATTGTCAAGAGGGATACACCCACCTGCATCAAATATATGTGAAAACTGAAACTATGCAAGCACAAATTATTTGCTCCTACACATGTTAATGCTAGAGTTAGCATAGCTTTTGTCTGAGGAGGCCCTAGGTGCTGGAGCTGCCTGGAAATCTGGTGTTTAGCATATTAAACAGGTTTTTAGCTCTTCTTATTTTAAAGAAAAGTTTGAAAACCTGGATGGGGGGCAGGCACTGGAGGCCAGACAGCTCCCCCAGGAAGCCAACAGCATTGCTCTGCCTCTGTGTTGAGTTGTCCAAGCAGATCAGGACAGAGCTGCTGCGTGTCGGAGATGAGCGGAGATCTCCGAGTGGGGTGGGAGAGGCTGGGAAAGGGGATTATACCTCAGGGTGTATATGCAGGGGATGAGAGAGGGGTCTCAGCACCGCCGCCAATTCCACCTGCCAGCACGGGCTCAGGTGTCGGTCCTTCTAGTGGGATCAGAAATGCCTTCTTGTCGTGGTTTGAGCCTGGTCAGCAGCCAACCACCACACAGCATCTCTCTCTCCCTTCTCTTCCGGCAATGAGAAGGGACAGAGAGCCAGGCTTGGGGTTCGAGATAGGACTGGGATGGGGAAAAAATCCCCCTTTATGGTCACGAGCAAGAGGCACACTCGTTAGGGGAGGAAAAAAAGAACATACATTTATTACAGACACTAACAACACCTAACAGAGTAGGGCAGTGAGAAGCATTGCCACATCTTGAGAACACCTTCCCTCCACCCCTCCCTTCTTCCCGGGCTCAGCTCTGCTCCCCATATCTCTACCTCCTCCTCCAGGGGCGCAGGGGCAGGGAATGGGGGGTGCAGTCAGTGCTGCCACTTCCTTCATCTTCAGTGGGGGGAGCTGCTGGAACTTCTTCCCCCTGCTCCATCGTGGTCCCCCTGTCACAGGAGACAGTCCTCCACAAACTTTCTCTAACATGAGTCCCTCCCACGGGCCGCAGCGTTCCCCACACTGCTCCATCATGGGTCACTAACTTCCTCCAACTGGATTCCCTCCCACGGCTGCAGCCCTTCCCGAGCTGCTCCGGCGTGGGACTCCCCCGCATGCTGCAATCCTCGCAGCGCTGAATTACAGCAGCAGGGGCTGCTGCTTCCCACGAGGCCCTGGCCTTCTTTGAGCACAGCACCTTGATTATTCCGAGCAGGAGCCATAGGCCATAAATCAGTGTCTGCTCCACCGTAGATCTCCATGGGTGGCAGGGGGGGCCGCCCTGCCATCTCCACACAGGATACAGGGGGGTCTCTGCTCTGGCACACCTCCCCCCTCCTTTCTTCCTCCGTTCCTCCACTGCCCTTGGTGTTCACGCAGCTGCAGCGACTCCTCCTCACCAGTCCCACTGCCCGTCACCACGTCCCTTCTTAAATACGTTCTCGCAGAGGCGCAGCTGATGGGCTCGGTTTTCAAACAGAGGTGGAGCTGATGTGGAGCTGGGGGAGCTTCGAGAAGCTTCTCACAGGGGGCCGCCCCGATAGCCCCCTCCCCTGCCACCAAAAAACTCCACCACTCACTCAACCCAGGACACTTCTCCATCACAAAGCTCCTGCACAGTGCTTGTGGCATAGCAGTGCTCGTTTAGAGGATCAGTATTGGAACTGGTCCTGCTCTAAAACACTTTGGGTTGAGCATCAGCGTGTCTGTGTGCCTCCACAGCACCCTTTGCTTGGCCCTCTGCAGCACTACAGCAAAAGGGCGGCCAAGGTCTTAAACCAAAAACGCTGTTTGTGGACACGAGTTCCTCGTTTTGCCAGCAAGGGAGAAGGAAGGCGGAGAGACGTTCCTGAGGTGGCAGTGACTTTGGAGGAGATTTCTAGCTTCCCACCTTGTGTTCAGTCCTGAAAGACCAGAAAAATGTGGCTATCTGCAGTGTTTCTTGTTCCCATTACCTGCTGATCTTAGTTGGTTACGGTTGTTTTCCATTTTTTTTTAGATTTATTGACCTTTTTTGTATTTCATGTTTTGCTGAAGCTTTTTTCCAACAGCAGAGAAATTGCAAATACAATGTTATCATGAGTAATGTGCTGACTTTGTTTTCTTATCCACCTTAGGACATTTATTTACCCCTTCTTCACTAGAGGCAGACCTTTCCCACTGCAATTGCTTTTCTTTGGCACATTATTTTGTGTCTATAACGGCTTCCTCCAGGGGTACTACCTGATTTACTGCGCTGAATATCCGAATGATTGGTGCACCGACATCAGATTTACATCAGGTAATTACAGCTGCAGGATTCCCAAGATCTAATCTCCAAGCAATTTGTAAGGTGTTTGAATTATGTGCTAATCTTCACCGCACATGTGAGTCAAATCAGTTGCGATGGAAATCTGCATAAAACCTGCCTGCTAGCCCAGATAAAACAAATAAATGTGCAGTGACTTTTTTTTTTTTTTTTTTCACTAGGCAGCCACCTTTGAAGGCGTATGATGTTATATGTTAATCTCAAATCACCAGCCTTGTTTAACTGACACCACTCTAGAGCCTCTTGCTGCTACGGGCTGTGGAGATGCAATCTATCTCAGGCCTGGGCTGAGTGGGGACGTGCCCTTGCTCAGCCACAAGTGTCCCGCCAGCAGAAGCTGTGTGCAAGTGCAAACTGTGTCTCTCTCTTCCCTGCCAGGGAGCTTTGCACTTGATGTAGCTATTTTGACCGAGAGAGAAAAGAAGGGCAAAATCCCAGCATAAATGAGGCTTTAGAGGCAAAGGGGTCTTTCCTCTTGCGTAGGGCACATGAGAAGATTAGGGATCATGCATGGTCTAGTTGTACGTTAATATGGTTCCTTTATATTCTGTAACTTAATAGCCTAGCTGAATTTTACTCTGTGAAATCCCTGAGAGAATAACCGAGCAAGAGCAGCTAGGTGGCATTACGCATTTGGTGCCGCACAGAGGATGTTTTTAACCGCACACATAGAAATGAAGATTAACCTGGAGATCTGAAGAAACGTTTTGGATATGACAAGTACACAATAACCAATGTACTTTCTGTACACTGTTTCAGACTGTGGATGCAAGTAAGGGTTTTCAGACAGCATCACATATTAAAAGTCCTGGACATCGTTTAGTAAGAGCTCCCGTACCCAACGAAGAAAATGCCACATCACATAATTTGCATGATAAATAACATATATGTTCAATGAAAAAAAAAAAAAATGGAAATCAGCATTAGTGGTACTTTAAACATTAAATAAAAAACAAACAGTATATTCTTCCTCTACAGACTCTTAGCAACTCTCTGTTGCTACTGGAAGTGTTGCGGTTTTATCAGCACTCAGCCTTTTTTCTATACTTCGTGGCACACGCCACCTCTATTTCTTACCTTGCTTCCCAATCTTTTTCAGAGGTGGTTTTCTCAGTGTCTTAACATGGCACGACATGTAGGGCACGTCACCTGCAGAGCTCCTCAACCAAATGCCTCGAGCTCTTCGGCTAAGCGGAGCGTGGCCAGTGAATCGTTCTGGCCAGAAGCCGTCAGCATCCTTCCACGCGCGTGCCCGGAGCTTTGTCCAAGCAGCCCCGCTGGCGATGGGCTGAGCTGTGCTGAGCTGTAGGTTCCCTTCCCAGCTCCGTTGCTGCGCTGGAGAAGTTGATGTTCCCATTGCTCCTCTTGCCCCAGCTGTAAAACGAGAGTCGTGGCACCTGCCTGCAGCTCAGCCGATACTCCCTAGTAACATCCACAGCCGTGGCTGGCTGCCCTTAGCCAGCAGCGTCCCTTGGTGTTCCTGTCAGTTGATCCCTCCTTGATGTTCAACAAATGGTGACTTTGGCCAGCTGGCAAGTTCAGCTTTTTGGTGTTTTATTTTGTTTTGTTTTGTTTTGGTTTGGTTTTTTCCCACACCGGCTGAAAGTGCTTCGGTCTCATTAACAAAACAGTGTGCTCAGCATGGGCATCCCTCTGCCCCGCGTTGCTCTCCACGCTGAAGCCATACAGCGCGGGGGATCCCAGGGGACTCTGGTCCCACAACTGGCACAGAGATACGGGGCTATCTGTCACCAGTCACCTCTGCTTCTCCTGCTCAGTAGCCTTCTCAGCAGCAGAGCATCTTTTGGCTTAAAAAAGATTCCACCCACCTCACTATTAGGTCTCCTGCCTGCCTGCTCCAAAGATAAACCTCACATACGTGCTTGAGCAGGGATAACTAGGCAGAGCTGCCTTTCCAATGCATTCCTTGTTTGTTTCTTAGGTCTCCTCTTATTTTTGCTGGGAATGGGAATCAACATTCACAGTGATCTCCTGCTGCGCCAGCTCAGGAAACCCGGGGAAGTCACTTACAAGATTCCTCAAGGTATATTCTTATCCCTTACCTCCTTGGGGAAAGCAGGGCAGCAGGACAGATAACGTTTTTGGATGGAATTCACAGCAAAAAAAGGGACAGTGATAGCAGAGATGCCAGTATTGCACAGGCACTCGGTCCAGGTGCCCTCTGAGCTGCAGGGACTAGTGTGAGCTGGCTGCACACAATCCGTGAGAAGCAACGAGAGTGTCTGGAGCACAGGAGCTGTGAGGAGAGGTTTTAGGAGATGGACGGGGTAATTTAGAGAAGTGGGACATAGGAAGAGGATTTTAGCCTTGTAAGGGGCATCTGCAGAGAAGGAAATATTCTTCTCCATGCCCAGGAAGAAGAAGTAGTGGACTTCTTCTACTGCAAAAGGGAGAGTCCAAGTGTTAACTTCAGGGGGAAAAAAAATAACACCAAGGATGCAAGGTGCAGAATTTCCTTTCCGTCTCCTTCAAGGTGGGGCTTGATGAGGAAGAGTGGCCGTGAGGCAGAGTGCTGAAGTAGGAAATGTCTAGCTCTGGAGAGCAATATGGATGAGGACCTGGGAATTTCCTGGGTTTGGTGTCAACTCCTTCTGCTGGCTTGTTACGGATGCTAATATCTCTCCCCCAGAGTTTCTCACCTCCAATACTTACCTGCCTCCTGTGGATGTTGTGGTTAGCTAAGATGCAAAACTGAGATCCAGATTTTGCGTTTCCCAAAGGTCATGGAGTTGCAAAATATTTTTTAGAGCCTGAAGAGAATTAACTACTGTTAATAATTTTAGTTTAAATCTAATAATGGTCTTTCTTAAGTCCTTTTCCAAAGGAAAATAAATGATTGTGAAAGTGCTGAAAACCTCGGGGTTAGAATCACCTTTGGTTCCTGTACTTGTACAAGAGTCTTGTACAAGATCCCCCTTTGGCACGGCTCCCATGGCTTCAGGTCAGTGGGTTTAGGTTGCTGTTAATGGGCTCTGAATAAGAAAGGTAGAATATTCTGCTGCTGACTTTATGGGAAAGAACTTCCCATATGCAGAAGATGACTGTAAAAATCACATGTTTTGTCTGCCAATGCAGGGGGACTGTTCACCTACGTGTCTGGAGCCAACTACTTTGGAGAAATTGTGGAATGGTTTGGTTTTGCCATAGCAACCTGGTCCCTACCAGCCTTCGCCTTTGCCTTTTTCACGCTTTGCTGCATCGGGCCACGTGCTTATCACCATCACAGGTATCAGACCGTTTCCTGCCATACGCTGCTGCGCGCTCTTGGAGTGCCGTTTGTGAAATGCCAGGGAGGGGCAGAGGAGCAGGGCCAAAATTCAAGAAAAAACTGGAATTTAATACTATGTACAAGAAGTGTATCAGCTTATCTGTGACCGGGTGAAAGTAAGGCAGTCAGCTGGAGCCCACGTTCAGTCAAGGGGGCCTGATAGTCATTTCATCCGACATGAGTTACATTACTGCTTCTGCTGCGTTAAAACCCCTTTAAATGTGAACCTTTCCTCAGGGTTCCCTTGCAGCCTCTGCAGCCCTTTGGCGTAGATGTGGTCCCCTGCTCTGAATTCCTGAAGTCTCTCCTTTAGATCTGTCAGAACCTTGACAGTATTATTGGCGTTCACTTAATTCAGCAACCTGGGGTAAATAGTTTCGGAATGCTCCTTTGCAGAGTAACACAACAGAGGTTGCAAAGCAAGGCAGTTTGGAGGAGTTTTAAAGTTCCTCAGCTGAGCTGTATTGAAACTGCAGTTTTCTTGTGTGTATGCAGGTTCACTCTCTTGCTTATTTTCTTTCAGGTACTATCTCAAGACATTTACGGACTATCCAAAATCAAGGAAAGCCTTGATTCCTTTTGTTTTTTAATGATTGAAATATGGACTCTGTTTTGTTTTTACAGGGCTTTTTTCTACTCCTAGTTTTAATGTTAGGTCTGACTATAAGCAATTGTAAAATTGGCAACCTGGGGTTGTAACGGACAAGAAGGTAATTTGGAGCTGAGTTTCTTGGTTTTAATTGCAGGGGAAATTGCGGGTAGTTGCGGGCAGAGGGACTCCCCAAACAACACGTTTGCTTGTCAGTGGAGTTCCACCTCTGGAAAACAGATGTATAACTGCACTGACATCAGAGAAAAAGCACTGGCTAAAAACTGATGCAGAAAAGTAGAAAGTAAGCCCACGACTTCCAAGGAAGTCTTCAGCAGCCACTCCAATTTATAGCACTTCTGCAGCTGCTTCTTCCTGCCCCCATGCCGTAGCACGCGTGCCCTCGCTCTGCCGGCGCTGCCCTAGGTGTTGCACACACTTTGCTAGGGTCTCGTTTGCTAGGAAAATAACTCAGCCCGTTGTTTTTCATCGAAAAGCCAGCTTAGCTCCCAGAACCGTAACGCAACAGGAGGATCCTTGTGCCGACGCAAGGCTGGGAGCAGCACGCCGCGGCACGGAGGCGATGCGAAGTACACTGAGATGGAAGTGTCTGAATCTGGCGTTCACAAGCACCATGTCTGTGTTCCTTCCTTAAGCAACACTCTCCTCACTGTCAGATGATTAATCTTCAACCATCAGTTTGGTTTTTTTTTTTTTTTAAATGTACTTGGTGAAAGCAATCGCAGCTCCATTCGGATTTTCTTTTTTTTTTTTTTTTTTTTTCGTGCAAATCCAGAGCTCTTTCCAGAATAAAAATTTTTCCACTCGAAACCACTGAATTGTTGTTCATAAAAAGACTTGAGATGGTGATGTATGACAAAATTTACAGCAAATAAAAAGCTCCGTTTCGAAGAAAATATTCTCTAACACTGGCAGTACATTTTGTCTACGGAGAACATTTTCAGATACTCATATTAGGAAACGATGCGGAGATATTACTGAATTTTCACAAAAACACAGGATGTCTCTTCTTAATTTCAGAATATAGCCAGGAATTTTCCCCAAAACATCATGAATCCCAATAAGAAAAGATGTCCCCGTGGATGCTGATAGTTTTAGTTACCCTTCAGAGCATAAAATCTGCTAAGAATCATGCTGAGTAGCTGAAAAGAAAAAGACCAGGCCGCACCCCCTAAACATACTACCTGCTGCTGGAGTAACCTGACTGACTGTGCCCTATTTTCTCCAAAACACAATAAAATCTACGTGAAGTACCGAGCCGTGCTAGCCTGTAATTTCCCGTTTGCAGAAATGTGTCTCGGTGATGTTGCTTGCCGAGTCCTGCTCCCGCTGGCTTCCTCCTGCTGGGCAGACCCTCTTTTTTTTTTTTTTTTTTTTTTTTTTTTTTTTTTTTTTTTTTTTTTTCACTTATTCACCATCTTCACGACCGCAGAGCGGAGCGGCCAGCCGAGGCCGGGGCCCGTCGCACTGGTGCCCGTCCAGCGCCCGGGAGATCCGACCCCTTTGCCACGTGTAGGCAGAGGTGAGGGTGGGATGAGCTCGAACGCAAGAAGCAGCCCCAACGCTCCCTGCCCCAGCAGACCCTCCTTGACTGTCCCTCCTTGTGACTTTTTCCACACACACACACACACCACACCCCCCCCCCCCCCCCCGAGCCTCACAAGCGGCCAGGGAAGCAAATAGCCCGCGGGTGCCAGCGCCTGTAGCTGCTGTCACCCCCCGTCCCCTGCTGAGCCTGGGGAGGGAGCAGGGACCGAGGTCTGCCTCGCCCTGTGGACCAGAACAGGGTTTGTGCAGACCCCCCCTCCTCTCCTACCCACCCCCCCCAGCAGAACAGGGCTATTCCCTGCGTTCATTCCCTCCCGCTTAATACTCGCGCTGTCACTATCGCCGCTGTCAGTCCCAGGCCGGGGTACCCGGCTGCGAGGAGCCGGAGATCAGGGTGGGAGAACCCGGGTGGGTGGGGATCCCCACAGCCCTGCGCCCCCGAGCACAGGGTGCCTCAGGGTGCTGGGCACCTCGCAGGAGCAAGTCCGCCCTCTCCGGCACCGGCCTTGGACGTGCCACGTGGAAAGGGGCTGCGGGTAGCGAGGGAGCACATCTTCCTTCTGCCCTGCCCCGTGGTGTTTTCGGAGAGCAGAAACAACCCGTGTGCTTTAAACCCTCCACAAGCAACGACTGCGGTTAATAGTGACGGCGGAGGGGGGACACAGGCTCTCCCTGCATCGAGTTTCTCCTTGGGGCTGGTGGCTGCTCCCCTCCCTGCGCAGGCACCAGTCTGCCCCAGAGCGGCACCCCCGGGGGGCACGGTGCTGCCAAGAGATTTATTTCATCATCCCTTATGTTTATCAGGGAAAATATATTCCTCTTGTCTTTGGGAGAAAAACACGCTGGGCATTTTCATATCCCCCTGCTCGAGCCTCTGGAGGCTATGTACACATACACAACCAGAGCTGAACTGTGAAATGTTTTGAAAAGCCGCGCTCTTCTGACTTTCCTTGCAATGTCCTTTTCTGCCAAAAGCTAACAGAAGTGTCCTCCACTGGTGAGCAGTTAAAATAACAGCTACTTCCTTTTCTCCCCCTTTTGCACTAGTGTTTTTCTGTTTGTTTTTCTCCCATCATTCACATTTGAGTTTTCACTTGTCTTTGAGGAGCATCTATGTTTGGGTGCTGCTCCCCTGGAGAGGGCCTTCCTCGGGACGGCTCCGAGTGTTGCTGCTCTGCTAGAAAGACCCCTCGTACATGGAGCTGATAACCCAGACTTCACCCCTGCTGACAGCCTGCTGGGAAAATTAATCCTTTATCCCCAGGACTCTTGTTAATTTAATTATTTTTGTATTGTTTGAGTGCTTTTTTCAAAAGCTGACTTTCTGTAAGCATGCACTATACAGCTGTGGTAATACATACGTAGTTTAATCATGCATCTGACAGTTTCTTCTGGGAAGCACATTTTCTTCACCTAAGTGATCATAAAGACCACTTGTTGATACCAGAATTTAGATATCTAATCTCTTCTGACAACTGAAAACAGAATTAAACGCTGTTCACTGGGAGGGAAAGAGGAGAACAGTGGCACTTGCCAGCCCTAATTCCCATCTCTGTGTGCCACACACACTTCAGCCTTCGCCTGGCTTCAGTCCGTGCTTCAGATGAGAGGTCGCTCAAGACAACAGCAAAGCAGCTCCAGACAACATAGAGCATTTGTAGCTATTGTTTTAAAGTACATCTTTTACATAATCTACTTACACAAAAGGCAAACCCCCCCCCCCCCCCCCAGTTTTGGGCACTGAGTGCCTGTCTTTAGGAAAAGCACTCATCTGGGAGCTGCCCTCCTGCTCCCGGTACTCTCCTGGAACACGAAGCCGCCTACACTTGGCCAGAAGCTCTGCAGAAATACCAAACCATGGCATGTCTCAGAACCACAAATACCGAGGAACTCTCCCGAGGTATACAGAGTGCTCTCATGGTTTGGGCTCGAGAATATCTGTTTTGTAATTTGATGGTGACACTGATTGACTGATGAACTTCAGCGACACGCTCGCCACTTTGTTTTCCTTTCTAGTGCTTGTCTCTAGAAACGGCCTTGAAGGCCAGGATTTGTTTTCATAGTACTTGGCAAAGCAGTTCCAAACTCGGCTGAGGCATGTAGGTACTGATAGAACACAAATAAGATACAGCCTGTTGCAGATGCTTGGGAAAAAGAGCTATTACAGTATGGCAAAATATTTAAAAGACATATAAGCTATGCAAATGCACTGGAATGCATCTTAAGGAGATATTTCAGTGCTCTTTTGTCATCGAAAAAGGCTAATACATGTCACCCATTGGACCTTCAGATCATTTGCTGACAGCAGAGGGATTGCCTGCTTGTATTTGACTCACTTGTTAAATTAACAAAACCTTTTTAAATGCAAATCACCGTAAGGTCTCATTTAAATCCAAGCATGGTCCTGGAAGCCTCGCAGCCTCTCTTCTGTCACCTCTGGGGTACTCCCGAACTGGTCTAATTTCTCAGAGCAGGCTTTTCTGGAGACATCTCATCTCGAACCAAACACTGCTGTTCTCGTATGAGAAATGTGATCTAGGAAAAACAGACATCTGATACTAATGCAGGGCCAAGGTCTGCTGGTTCCTCATGAGTAGTACCACGCTCTGTGAGCTGCTCAAGAATATACCGTTATTCCCCACAAACAGAGGTAGAAAGTCTCATCTCTGTGGGAGCAGAGTTGGTAGGCAGACATCAAGAAGTGCCTAATGGTAACGCCCAGAAAGGTGAAGGAGGACGTTCAGGTCTGTTTCTGGTTTACGTTACCACAAGTTACAAATGAACCTTCCCAATGAACCTGTCTTTAGCACTGCAAGTCTAAAAGGCAAAAGAAAACAGCACAGTTTTCAGAAGCTCATTAGCTTACTTAGCACAGTTTTCAGAAGCTCACTAGGTTACTTAGCACAGTTTTCAGAAGCTCACTAGGTTACTTAGCACAGTTTTCAGAAGCTCACTAGGTTACTTCCTTGGAATATTCAGAAGAGAACAGACTGAGTTCACCCGATGCGATGTTCAGAATAACCCCACCACCGTGCCTTTCAGCCAGGCGCTGAGGTTCCCCCCCCCCCCCAGCAGAAGCAGTGGAGGCATCAGCTCCCCCAGCCCGTGATTCACAACACCCAAGCTGGAAGCCTAAACCCCACGCAGGGGGCAGGGGTGCTGGAGGCACCCTCCAGGGAGCCCACACCCATCCATGAACAGCGGGAGGCAGCTGCCTTTGGGCACCCTGACCTGCAGCGTCATTTTGGGAACCTGAGTTGTCCTGTTCGGACACATCAGCTCCAGCACCACAGGTGCCTGCCACGTTGCTTTCCAGCCCGTTTGCCTTCTTTTCCCAAGTTTGCCCTGTGAGATTACACATAATGCTGTCACAGCCACACTTACCTATTACACCAAACACACCTGGTCTGATTTTTTATTATTTTTTTCACCCCGCAGCGTCGCTGCCACCAGGGAAGGCCCTCAACTATATGGGGATGCAGTGTGTTTTTACGCTGGGTGCTGAAAGATGAGGAAGCTGTCGAGGGGTTCATTTTAATGGGTTCACAGCAGCCTTGCTTTGGTCTGACCCGAGTCTGGGTGGAGTTGGGTTTCCCCTGCCCCGCTGAGTGGTGATGGGGGAGCAGCTCCACGAGCCCCCTGTGCCCCCCAGGCTGTGGCCACCAGCATTTGGGAGCTGGCCGAATCCCACCCGTGAAGGGGAAACTGGCTCCCCACTAACCCTGGGAGAGTCCCCCTCCTCATCTGCATCCTCAGCCTCATCTTCCTCATCCTCGTCCTCCCTAGGCGGGGACCGCTGCAGCTCGGGATGTTACACCAGAGCAAAGTCCTCCTTGCCCGGCGCGGCCAGGTACACGTGCCCAGCCCTCCCTGAATCTGTTTTCTGTTATGGAAACTCTTGAAATGACTCCCATCTCCCCGGCAAGAGAGCAGTTTGCAGACGACTTGGAAACCTGTCTCTGTCAAAATACTATTTCTGCCATTTGACCAGAAAAATCTGTGTTTCAGATCTCCGCAGGAACAGAAAACCTGTCCTTTCACCAATTACAAACTTGGAAGGCATTCAGGTAGAGGAAAGCAAGAAAATATTGTTCATGGCGGGTCTCTAGAGATGTGGGAAGCTGGCCCCTGCAGGCCTACGAACAATTTTAAAATACCAGCAAACATCACTCAGGATAGAAAGCTGGTTTGGAAGAATTAAAATACATTTGCAACAGTGGAGCTATCTGATCTAAATCCTTTTTCCCCTCTGCTGGGAATTTATAACTGGCACTCTGGTAGTAAACAGGAAAATGTGTATTTCAGCTCTGAATGTACTAACCCTGCCTTCTGTGCAGCAGGGTGAAACCTTACCCTTGCGCATCCTGGCAGCCCCGCACACCGAGCAGTATTTCTGGGGGTGTTAACTGAGCTATGTCAGGCAGTCCTCTTCGGTGTGACACAACTTCAGCTTCACAGCCAGCAAGCTAGAGCCCGCGCCCAAGTGCATATCTGCAGGCAAAGCCATCGCCAGCAAAATGTGGTGACTGTCCCCAAACTGAGATGGACACCCTGGCACTGTGCTGGTAACACTGGGCTGAACTCAGGCTTGGCACCCGGCACTTCGGAGCACGTCCAAAGGGTGAAACTCTCCCTGAATTCAGCAAGGCTCTGGTTTCACCCCTCTGTTCTCTGTTCAGATATATTCGCCGCCCGTAGCCAGCGATTTT